GTATTATTACTTAATCTAGGTTCTAGTGTATAGTTAGGTATTATTAGGTTATTTTTAAGGTGTTAACCTTAAGGGTAAGAAGTAGGAGATTATATAATCTTTTCTATATCTAGCTCTTCCTCTATGCTGAGGTATACTATAAGGTCTAGCTATAGGCAATAGTATTTACTTCACGCTAGGATTGATAGTGAAAGGATGGCTTAATGGCATTAAGTAAATAATACTTAACTTCCCTAAAGCCGGTGTGCGGCGCGGGGTATACACAGCCAACTTACTTAGCACACTAGGACTCTATTAGGCCTTAGCGCCATATACCATAACACTATAACGAACTTCGCGATCTGCTTATTACAGAATCTCCCCCTCTAGCTATAGTCCCTGGCAGCATACTATGGCCTCGATAAAAACCTCACCCTATAGGAAAGGAAAAGAGTGTCCATAGTAGTGCTTATTACCTACGCCATAATGGCGTATTACCTATATATGGTGCCTGCCGCAATTACGTGTTACACATTATTGTGGTGAAGACTCTATGCCTTCCGTTTACTATAGCCTTAGTAATAATAAATAGATAAGCTCTCTATGTTTTAATTTCATATTACTTGTCTCGCGCTCGACATCTCCTTAACACTATAATACCACTTATAAAGCGCACGCGACTCGCTTAATAATCTATAATTATAGTTTACTACCCTATCCCTAAGTACATTATAAAGACCGCTCTTAGCCAGGCTTGTAACTTCGCGTTCAGCGATGCTAACAAGTAGGAGGGATAAGTCACTATAGTTATAACCTATATATACTATGCGTAGAACTTATACCACCTCCCTAATAATTATAACTGGCCTAAATCGCGCCGCTATAAGCATTATGTGGCTAGCAACCATAGTACCTATACTCTAGTAAGTTATTTTTTGGGGTCGCGCGCCTCATATGCGCTTTAGCTAATTATTATAGGTGCCTAACGAGCTTAATAGTCACTTAAATCACCTCTACCAACTCCGCGATCACTACCTCGCCACTATTACCACCGCCCCTACTGGCGCTGTTGCGCATAGGGCCAATGCCAATATTTAGTATATAGGCTTAAAGTTTACGCGCTACTAGAAGTAATTCAACTTAGAGCTATACAATCATAGGCGCATCACAGCTTATTCTAGCACTCCTATGGGTATGGCCACTTAAGTCCCCACCACCAGCCCTCAGTACCTAGGCCTTATCCTCGTAGAGCAGCGCCGCATTACTACTACCCTAGAGGGTTTGGCTAGGCTTATTCCTCTCCTAGAGATCATTATAGGTGCATTACTTAGACGCAGCTTAGGTGTATATTAATATCTTCTAGGCTACTAACTATATTGCGGCTGGTGCCGCGGGTGATAATAACGACGGCTCTAATAATAATAACGAGTAGTTAGGGAGTAGGGAGGCGTAGGTAGTGTGCGTAATAATTAACGTTTCGGGATAATGGGTAGATACCCCGGCCTTAGGGCCTAAGCCATAGTGCTCATAATAATTTACTCCTTAAATGCGTTCCATGTACTCTCTTCGTGACCTCGTCTTCCTTCTTAGGTGCTTAGAGCTTAACTCCTCTTTAAAGGCTTAAACCAGCTCATCCAT